CAGAAAGAGCGAGGGTTCTGCTCTCCTTCCACAGCTCTGCCATAAAGCATTTCTTTTCTACATGAAAGCAAAGATTCACTTTACTGAATGACTGAAGAGCCGTGACCCTCAATGCGCAGGCTGCATGTGCCATGGCACCCACTGATGTGTTTTCTTGTGATCACTTCTTGAGTCTTGGGGAATAAAATCAGTGACGGGAAGTTTACTCTTTGGACAGCTCGAAGGAGGTGGGAGCGCAAACTAAGCCCGGAGGACTAGAGACTTGGGTCCCTCACAAGGAAGCCAAACAAATAAAGCTTTGCAACCCCGCAGCTGATTCCAGTGCACCAACCAGCTCTCTCCCTAGCAAAGAGCCGCACACACCCAGCGAAGGCGGGGCGCAGCTGGCGGGCGACTTGTTGTTTGAGCTACTACCGGTTGCGAACAGGCACGGAAACATCTCCGGCGCTCAGCGAGTCTAACCTATCTGCCCAGACTTGCAAAGCAGGATCACAAACCCCGCCCCGATTTGTAGCGCGATCTGTCGACAACCAAAATGTGGATCTGGAAGAAGTTAGAAACTTTGCTAGGGAAAAAGGGGCGGCTGGGGAGAAGGGAGCAAGAGGAACCCGGCCCATTCAAATAATGTGTACAACACAGACCCCTCCTTGGCATGCAAAACCACAGCAGCCAACCGAAACCACATCCCCTCCCCCAGTTCAACCAAAGGATCCACCTATTCTTCATCTCCACTGTATATTCATCAGGGATGTGATCTAGGTCAAACCTGAAAGGCCTAGTGGTTTTCCCAACTTTCTTCAGTTTAAGTCTGAATTTTGCAATGAGTTGCTCATGATCTGAGCCACAGTCAGCTCCAGGTCCTGTTTTTACTGACTGGATAGAGTTTCTCTATCTTTGACTGCAAATGATATATTCAATCTGATTTCGGTGTTGCCCATCTGGTGATGTCCATGTGTAGAGTCGCCAATTCTATTGGCAGTCCATCTGAGCCTGGCGCTTTGCCTTTATTTTGTCTTTTTAAGGCCTCTACCACTTCCATCATTGTAATTGGTTGATTAAGTGCCTCCCTGTGTTTTGATGCAAATGTCTTCGGTTTGAGAGTTTTTATATTTCTTTTATCTGTTCCGCTTTAATCTCCGCTTTACTATATATTTGAAAATAAAGAATGTTCCACAGAAAAATGCAGTACTGGGAAATTTTCTGAATATTTTCCCACCCCCACATCTGTATTGAGAGTCTTCAAGGAACAGAAATGCACAGGAAGTTTTTGATGTCTCCCAACTGACTGACTAAGCTCACCCTGCACAGGTATGTCATAGAAGAAGAAGAGAAGAGAGAAGAAATTGGATTTATACCCCACCCTTTACTTGGAGTCTCAGAGCAGCTTACAAACTCCTTGCCCTTCCCCTCCCCACAACAGACACCCTGTGAGGTGGGTGGGGCTGAGAGAACTCTGACACAAACTGCTCTTTCAGGAACAGCTGTGCCAGAGCTTGTGACTGACCCAAGGTCACATCAGCAGGTGCAAGTGGAGGAGCGGGGAATCAAACCCGGTTCTCCCAGATTAGAGTCCGCACACTTAACCACTACACCAAACTGGCTCCAATGGCCATGTCCCCTCAGCTTGGCCATAGACACAGTTTTGTATGCTTCTAGGCTTGACAATCTCTCTCTGTAGCACACACAGAACAAACCATACCACTTGAATGAAGCAATGTCATTTTTCTAAAGCAAAGAACCAGTCCCAGCTTCCTTACATCTCCTAAGAGTAAGAGGAACTTTAGGAGAGCCCAGAAGACACCATGCCTTTGCATCTGTCAGGAGTGCTGCCCCTGTTATAACATATCACTTGCCTTAGAAGCTTTCAAAGTTTTATGATTGGGTGTTAAAGGGGCAAGCCACTGGTGAGCAGGATATTCTCTCCTTTCCTCAGAATACCTAAAGTTCCCACAGATGCAGTAGCAGGATATGGCCATCCTTCAATTGGTTTTGATTGGAATTATTCTACTCAAGCAAATCTTCACGCATCCTACTGATGTACTTTAAGGTAAGGAATAATATACAGATTCAAAAATGAATAGTGCGAGAGAGGGTGGGTCTTTTGTCTGTTTCCCAGTTTTCTTCTCGTTAACTTCTCTGAGTATGTTCTATGGTGTATAGAAATAGTGATTTCTAAAGGTTTCATGCCTTCCCCTGGAATGTCCTCGCTGATACCATGTTGTGCCTTGTTCCTGTTGAAGCCAAATGGCCTCAATAGCCCTGCCATATAACCCCACATTCTTCACACTTCCATGCTGACAGAGACCAGATGGCTCTGCCAAGCATGTCAGAGAAGCTCACATAGCCGAAGCATGTCAGAAGGCACGTATCCCGTGGACTAGCTGGTCACATGACTGCAGGTGTGACCTTCAGAGCTCTAGCCATTCAGATGTTGCACCCATGGCAACTCAACAATTGGACACTCCTATGTCTACTCCAATTGGCTCCTGGCCAGGGCAAATTTGCAAATAGATTGGGGGTTTTAACTGTCTGATCCCTTGGAGGAGAGCTCTCTCTCTGTTCCTGTTTGTGAGATCTTGGATGGACACCTGAAATGCTGTCTTGCCATGCTGTCTCTGGGAGAGACAAAGAACTCCTTTGTGAGGCTGAGCACATGGCTGCATGCTTGCACAAAGATGGGACCTAATGGGACTGTAAACTTGGACATTCTTGACTATGGATCATCCTGGTAACTATGCATATCTCTTTAATGTTTAGTGAGGGCCAAGAGCCATAAATTTTCTTGTTTTGAAATCCTTATTAGTCTAATTGCTAAGTTCTGTACTGAATAAAACTATTTCTATTGTTAATGTGTCTGCATTGGTGTAACTGAGATCTCAAGGCTAAACTCCTGTGCCTTCTGCTCACCAAATTGCACTACCTTGGTAAAATTAACTGCACAGCTCTGGATTGAGTTGCTAATGTGTTAAGTCCCAGATGCCAACTGAGATTCTGGAATCTCTAATCTCAGGCTGGTGAGGGATTAAGTTTAGAGATTCCTGGTGGCAAAGATGTTTGGAATCCAGAGAGGGTAGCCTACCTTTCTGGGTGTTATTGTTTAATGTACTGAAAAGTATAGGCTTGCCCCTCATTCCTGGACAGACGTGAGGGCATGAGCTTATACATGGTGGAATTTATACATATGGTGTGATGTTAGTAGCTGGGCAATATAACCAGCAACTAGCACAGCGACAGTACTCTAGACAGGCCTGGAAGATATCCCATGGTCTGGATGAACAAAATTTATTATTTCCTGCTGTCTCTTGCTGCCAGCAGTGTATTTTTATTAGTCTGAAGCATTTGAACAATGGAGCCTTTGTCTTATGTTAGCAACATTTTAGGCATGAAATGTATTCTTGCAAAGAAGCTTGAAGTTTTGGTGACAGAAGATGAGCTTTCAACCCTCTCTAGGACTCATGGCTTAGAAAAAAAAATGTCCTATGGGAATACAAGGAAAAACTCAAGTATGGTGATGGCATAAGAAAGCAAAGTATTTGACTTTGAAAAAGCAGTCATCATTCTAACTCATATTTACTTTGCTTCCAGAGCAATATGAAACTTTTTCTTTAAAATGCATGATTATTAAGACAATGGTACATTAAAGGGATGTTATTTTAAGATTGTAGCAGAGGAAAAATCACTCTGTGAACCTGCTCTGTCCAGAACAGATCAGAATCCAAGCACGAAAACACAGACTGTGGGAAATACTGTAATTTTGCATAGTGTATCACAACTCTCTCTGCTTCCATTTCAGCTATCATGTGTATGTTAGAAATGAGCAAATTTCCAATGGTGCTAGTTCATCTATAAAGCATATGAGGGAGCTGTCCTTGAAATATGCCAGAAAGGAAGGACATACTCTTCAGTTTTTTAATCCAGCAATCTTTTCTTTAATACCTGTTTGCCCCACTTCTTGCAACAAAGGCCCTACCACACACAAGCAGCACTACTATAGGCACAGAGAAAGACATGGGGTATTTAAAGAGTTCAACTTTTTAAAATAATGCTTAATATGTCCTAAAACTGGTGTACTTGTCTTCACTAGCTCTAGAGTTTTGCAAAACCTATATACTCAGTCTTTAAGAGAATATTTTTATCTACAGAATAAATTTTAGGACTAAAAATAATAGTAATACAGCGTAATACTATGGTTACCACTCTCTCCAAACTGTTCTTTATGATCTAAAGTCTTTATGATCTAAGCACTTAAGATTCTCAGAAATGAATACAAAACTGGGAAAGCATAGACACAAACATAGCACACTCTGCATGCTTCAGTGCTACCACTTGAACTAACTACAGGTATAACCTTACCTTTGTCAGCAGTGTGGTTCTGGTTCTACATTAAATTATCCCAGTTAACAATGCTCCTGGATAATCCAACAGTTTCCATGGAAACCATTGTGAAAAGAGGCTGTGCTGATGGTTCTGGGACTCAGAGCAACTTCTACTCCTGAACAGGAATAGCTGGGCTGGATGTCTAACAAATGCAACATTAATTGTATTCACTTACTTACTGTAGGAAAATACAGGGTAGCTACATTGGTCTCTGCATGAAACATGCATTGGGCAGAGGTGACCAAATCATGGAAAGCTCCCTGGAGATATGGTAATTTAGAGCTGCATGCTTTGCCTTTCCTTTCAGTGGTATATGAATGAGGGATGCACTGTGTCTACATCTCATGCCTTAAATCAAAGGCTCCAAGCTGCAATTAACTGTGTGTTGACCCATGGATAAAGATCCATGGTCTTAAATAGGACGTGGCATGGGGATACAGCTCTCTTAATCCAACTCCTCTTCTGAACAGCCAGCATTTAAGACAAATTATATTTTATAACCATAAATTCTGGGGAAGTAATGTAAAATCTAAGCGTGAAGAATCTGCAGCTACCAGAGTATATTAAACATGGGCAATCAGACCAGATCAACCCAAAGGGTTAAATGTGAAGACATATCTTACCATAGGTTGCAAATGTTCTTCTTTGTTGTTCAAACATGAAATCATTAATGTGTGCTGGTTCTGTGTATCCAGAAAGCATATTCCTAGGTGCAGCCATCTGCTGAGTCCTAAAAGGATTCACTGGCCCAAACTGTATTAAAAAAAATGATAATTGCAATATGCACAGGACCGTCATTAAGGACCAATCTATATTTGACTTTACTAGCAGATCCATGCATATACCACAATAGCAAAAGACTGCACAGAGATCTCCTTTTACTGCATTGCACTAAAAATCTGATGATCTTCACACATGACATTGGTACTTTTTAAATGCATCCATGTAAGCAAAACGTCATGTATGAAACAATATAGTAGATGCCAACTAAACAATATGCAACACATGGGAAACTGTTTTTTGGGGAAAGCTTGCTTTACTTTCAGTATTTCTTCTATGCATGACTGTATTAACAACAGATAGTTCCAAAACATAGGTATTGATTTGCACTACAATAATAAAGCATTTTACATGTAATACTTCTTATGCTGGAATCTTTGTGTCCACAAAGAAATGGTTTGGTCATTACATCTGCTTCTATTTCCTGTTATTATTTAGATCCTTATAACGCATTTTTCTCCCCAACAGGGACCCAAAGTGGCTCACAGCATCGTTCCCCCTTCATTTGATCCTTACAACAACCACATTGTAAGGTAGGTCAGATGGAAAAAGAGTACTGTCCAACGTTACTCTACAAGATTCCACAACTAGGCTTTGAAGCTGATCTATAAACCTGGCTAAAACAAGCAATGGTTCATGTTATCTATGCTGTACACATAATGCTATAGTATGGTAAATGGGTAAGGTAAATGGGCAGGGAGGAATCTGAGCAAATGAAGGGAGGATAAAAGTGTGACTGCATTTAACCACGTTAGAAAGAAATGTGGTAGTGGTATGGGACCTCAATATTCTGGAGAAAGTAAAGAGTGGTTGTTGAAACAGATTCTGAAATGCATCTATGGTAGGACCTATTAAGATGTTCCATTAAAGCTACATTGAATTCCAAAGGGGGGAAAAATGGGAATACTGCCAAGATGCTGACCAGATGAAAGGAGTATGCTCCTCATAAATTATCTACTATCATCAATGTGAGATAGTCATATGCAGCACTACAATCCACAGAGAACCAAAATTATCAGCATGGAGTGAATCCTCAACAGGTTTTGTTAGAAAACCGCTGTGCCGCAACTACTATGCTTAATGATATTTGTCATGCATTATGGGCTCCTCCCAACTCTCCAGAGACATCCAACCCCACAACCTCACATTTCTATTTACCAAAGCATTCCCTTGCTCCTTCATCCTTTTACTACAAGATTAACCTCCACAAATAGTACTAATATATCTAAATTATTTCTGAAATAGAAGGGCACAGAAAACTTGCATGTGCTTTACAATCAATTAAGTTAGTTTTATTCAGGGGAATAAAAACCATTATTACTCATTAGCTATACCTCAGAAATGAAAAACAACAACAACATCCAGCTTTGGATAGCTATGATTTCAAGATTCTGACAGCTGCATGTATTAAGGCTAATTATATATATATATATATTTCATACAAGTTGCTTGTTCCCAGTGGTGTTTTCCCATGAAGAATACCTATTTCAGTATTTAGTTGCCTTTTGTAAGTCCAGTTATTTGACAACTTCGTACAGCAGAGATCATCCAAGCTTTTTCTTCCCCAAATCTTGGCCTCTTTTACTATGTGATCCTACTTAAAAGTTTATTGCTTTCTAGGATTTGTGAATGACAAAAAGGGAAATAATGTTTTCTGTGTAATCGGATATTGGCCATATGCAAATAAATATGGTTAATGTAGAAAATACAGTCATTGACCCAGCTGTGCAAGCTCAGACAAAACAAACATGCATAACTTTAATAAACATATTTCACATGCTGTTTATCTATGTACATCAAAATTAATTTTAGAGCACAGAACTGACAGTGAGTGAGATGTACACTACTCCATTGCATACTATGCATTTTCAGGCATGGAGATGTACTATTTAATTTCAGTTCTGCCAAGACATTAAAGGTATGAATTGGTCAAGGAAACAGTATTTTTCTGCTCTGCTCATGGCTGCCTACTACAGATTATGCCATGAAACCTTCAGAATATCACTTTGGTTCCCTGCAAACATACAAACGTTGCACTGAAAAAAGGATAACTTGTAGTACGCCCACCAACCGTGTAATTCCTTACATGTAGAGGAAGGAAATGTACAACCCCAGCTATGAGATGATAAAGCATGCCTTTGATACATTATGATTACTATTTCCCTATAAAAAATCCACAACACTTTAACCACATCTGGAGTTTCATATTGAGAATGCGTATGATTTATACTTAAAGAGTATACCACAGGTTAACCCCATAAGTGCTGAGGAGCCTTGTTATCCTACCGGCAGGAGGGGGAGATGAATGAATGATCACTAGTCTATCTCACTTTGAGCAGTACTTGAAACCTGAATTTCATACTATGACAACTCAATGTCCTGCTCTTTCCGCAGATTACTGCTTTGTTAAGAGAACAGGGTATTTTTAATTCCACAGCTCATGCCTTATTTTATTGAAAGTGTAATATTTGTTTCATTATACCTTTTAATGTGACATGAAGTACATTGCAGAGCTACAAAATGAGATATAAATGGGAGCCTTTTACCCAGTTTTGGTTAGCTTCAGATCAGTATGTATGAAAACATCTGAAGAACTCAAATGTCATAATAGGTGTCACATTGTTCTTTAAAGATTTATTTTCATATATGATTTAATAATTTACAAGGTATTCCTTTCAGAAGTTGCTTTGAACAACACTGTAACAAACTACTAGGTTAAAAAACACTACTGTATTTACCTCAGGTGCGAACATGGTATCGTACGTTGGGTTATATTGAACTTCCTTGGTAGCTGGATCAAGATGAACTCCTGTTTCCACATCTTCCTAGAAAATTCAACAGAATTTTAATGGAAATCTTTCTTCTGATAGCAAAGCTTATGCATTAAGCAAATTACAGTAATGTCAAATATTACTTTTTAAAATCCCAAATGTTTACTTTTGCTATAAACAAACAGAAGTGATCATTACTAAGTTGCTGTTGTTGTTTTTTAAGATGGAGCAATCCTCACACTGAGATTCAAGCATGCAAAATTAGTATGAAATTATGGTACAGTTACACAGAACCAAAAGAAGAGAAAGTAACTTTCAACGCCTAGGGGTACCCACCTCTTTTCATTAACACTGCTGTTCACAGCACCCATAGACCTCATGTACAAAACGAGACCTACAGGACGTTGTCCTCTGGACAAGTCCTTAAATACTTGTCATTGCCAGGTTAGACAATCATACTTTATATGGGACAATCTACGCTGCACATAAAGAAAATTTGGAAGCTTCAGTTAGTTCAGACTTGCAATAGCAAGTTCACTACCAGGTGTGAATTACAGGCAACCACATTATACTAATACTGAAGTTCTACATTGGTTGACTGATAACTTCTGGGTCCAATTCAAGGTCCTGGTTTTTTTTACCTTTAAAGCCTTCTTGGCCTGGGACTAGGGTACCTGAAAGACTACCCTCTCTCATATGTACTTGCTTGGACATTATATTTACTTTCACAGGCCTTGCTTCCCGTACACTCCCCCCCCCCCGCCTTTCAGAGGTTAGGCTGGTGGCCATTAAAGATCCAGTGATGTGCCTGAACTACAGAATACACTTCCCCTTTTTCTTTGCCAGTCACAACTGTTAGCCATTTTCTAGGATTGGGTTATAATTTTTCTTTTATTCTAACAAACCTTTATTAGGGATTATGCTATCTGTTATTACCTGTAGTTCCCCCCCACACACACTGTGACATCATAACTTTGTGGATTTCCCCCCATCCTGGTTTTATTGTTTTAGTGCTCATGCTAATTTGAGATCAGTTTTAGTGTGAGTTTTTGATTTTTAAATGGTTTCTACATTGTATTTATCAACTATTAAGTGCGCTGTCTCAGAGAGGTGGTATATAACTATTTAATAAATAAACTATATTAGTAGAAGATGGCAGATGGTATCACATGAACACATGAAGCTGCCTTATACTGAATCAAATCCTTGGTCCAATATTGCCTACTCCAACTGGCAGTGGCTCTCCAAGGTCTCAGGCGGAGGTCTTTCACATCACCAACTGCCTGGTCCTTCTTGAATCGGAGATGCTGGGGACTGAACCTGGGACCTTCTGCATGCCAAGCAGATGTTCTACCACTGAGCCATAGTCCCTTCCCATCAGCACTAGTATAATTAATTCCTTTAGGCTTTACTGCATTAACTACTATTGTTATACCACTGTTGAATAACAAAGCTTGATAACCACTTTAATTCCACACTGCAATGTACCTTCCTCATCAACTAGTCCCAAAATACTACCTTATCAACTAATGCAGCTTCTTTCAGTATTGTGCAGCAAAAAAACATGAATCCTGCAAGTCTGTATAGCTTTTTTTCTCACTTTGCATACTTTTCTTCTGCTAGCCATGGGGAAATGTGCTGAACTACCATATGACTACTGGGGATCCTTTCTCACTGCTTTTGGAAATAACAGTAGTTACTTCCCACATTCTTAAAGTGTATCTTCGCAGCCACACAAAGCCTAGACACTCCAGATGCCACATACCTAATCTGATGGTTTTCCTGTTGTTCTCTGGGTCATGAATTCCCAGAGATTTTTCAGTAATTCCAGTGTTTACATTCAGACTTAATGCTCTGGAAACCACTGTGCCATTGTCAGCAACAAAAGTAGGGCTGGTGCCAGAATTTGAAAAAGTTTTATCAATGGATAAAGCCATCAAAGACTGTTGGCGGCTTATTCCTTTTTTCTGAAACTGGTCTGTACATATGAATGCCTGCAGAAGGCTGCCTCAGGGACAGTCTGCTTCACATACAATGATTGCTAAAGGGCCTCAAAGGCCTAGTTTTTCGGACTGCCTGTTCTACAATTTTACTTTCCAACAACTTGTATAGTCTTTTTTGTACAAGAGTCAACATTAGTACAACGAAAGGAAAGCAGTACAAAATAATGGGAGAATAATGTTCACGCCAAATTTATATAAGGGTCACATTTAACCCTACAATGTCTATTAGCTAACAGATTATTCGAAAATTTAATAATTTTAGAAAACCCATACTGTTCCCACGATGGTATATCCATTTTCAGAACTATATATTTCTTACAAATACTACAGGTTGCCTTTTCAACACTTTCATTTTTGCGTCATAGACAGCAATTCCCGTTAACAAAACACAATTGATTTTGGACAAGTATAGCTGTAAACAGGTTTTGTGCATTTTCCTTTGACAATCTACCCCCCTAAAATGTTTGTGGGAATATTTCTTTCTGTTTCAGGACCCAAAAGTGGGATGCCAGTCTCACAGGCAGGTCACAAGGCCAGGAAGGAGGAACAAGGTAGGCTGGGAGAAGAGACTCTGAGAGGACAGATAGTGAATTTGGGTTTGCTGCTGCGTAATGTGCAAAACTGGCCATAAAATACAATCTGTTGATTGTAGGGATGCCAGTCCCCAAGTGCGGGAGGGGTTTCCCTTAATTTTTAGGGCTCTCCCCCGACACCCACCAGCTAGCCAGTGGGGGAGCCCCACCCCCAAAAGTCGTCTGTGGCCCCACTTGAAAAGAGCAAGCACACGCAGCACCTGCTCTTTCCAAGCGGGGGCCGCCGGGTCCTGCCTTGCAAGAGTTGAGTTCACCTCCTGCAGGGCAGGAGTGCCTAGCACCTGGTCTTTCCAAGCAGGAGCAACCAGCTCCTGCCTTGCAAGAGGCAATTCTGCCTCTTGCATGGCAGGAGTGCTTGGCCCTTTGCTTTCTCCCAACCACCATTTAAGACTCCCTTTAAATGGTAGGAAAAAAGCAGGGACGTGATGACATCATGCACACTGATGTCATTGCGCCAGTGATGGCTACACCCCGTCCTGGAATGACCCCTAATCCCTCCGCCAGGGAGAAGATTGGACCTGGAAACTCTAGTTGATTAGTATCTATACACAGGGGTCTTTTTGTAGAAAAAGAGGTGCAGGAGCTCATTAGCATATGCCACACCTCCTGACATCACCGGAAGTGTGTCATAGGCCACACCCCCTGACATCACCGGAAGTGTCAAAAGGCCATCCCCCTGAACATCACCGGAAGTGTGTCAGAAGGCCACACCCACTGCTCCAGCTCCACTGGACTGTTTTGGATTGCTAGCTATTGGGGGG